CAAGTCGTTCTCTTTTTCTATTTTTATTCCAAACAGTATTCTAATTAATATTTAATTTCAAAATTTGTATGTTAAATAGATCCATGGAGCTGCCATGTCTTATGAAATGTGGGCAACAAATTTGATTGAACACACATTTTTAGATTATTTGTTAGAAAATGGATATGATGTGTGGTTGAATGATTCTCGATTATCCCCGACAAATGCTGAATGTTATAAACAATTTTCTCTGGATGCAGTAAGATTAGACCAAAAAGCCGCTATTGATCACGTTCGTAAAATCACTAGATGTGATAAAATTGCAGTAGTCGCACATTGTCTTGGAAGCATTTCTACACTCATGGGACTTTTAGATGGGTCAATTGAAGGTGTTGGATCTTTAGTTTCGAGTCAAGTGGTAAGTACTAGAAATTTTTATACAATATGATAAACTATTATATATGCATATATATTTATTTATTTATTTATATTTTTATTTACTAATTACCCATGTGTTATACAGTCAGTTAACCCAATTAGCGGAGTCGTAAACACGATTAAACGAATTTTCCAACTTCTTCCATTTTATCGTCATATACTTCGACAAGACCTTTTTGATGTTCACACATCGCCTGACACCAATCTTTTAAATCGTATCGTTAATCAAGGTCTTCGATTTTATCCATATCCAAAAAATCAACTTTGTGACAGTGCATTATGTCATCGTGCATCATTGTGTTATGGCACCTTATATCAACACGAACATTTAAATCAACTAGTTCATGATTATCAAGGTGAATTTTTTGGAACAGTTAATCTAACCACGATGAATCATATGTTGTATATAGTGACTGCTCAAAAGCTCATAAGTTATGACAAAAAAAATGTTTACGTTACTGAGGAGAATGTAAAGAAAAATTTGAACTTCCCTGTCAGCTTAATTCATGGGGATAAGAATGTTGTGTAAGTAAATTATTAAATTGTTTTTATTATAATACATTCAACATATTATTGCTAATTACTATATAATCATTTTTGTCCAGTTTTGATATAAAATCATCACGAAAATCTTATGACACTTTGGTCAACTACGCACAAAACCCTGATTTTTACTCGATACATGAAATAGCAGGTTATGGACATTTAGACTGTTGGTGGGGAAATAATTCATACAAAGATGTATTTCCAAAAGTATTAGATCATCTTGAAAAAACAAAAAATAATTATGGATATGCTTTGAAAGGAAATCACGATGTACAAGGGTCTCATGTAGGTATATCAGTTATTAAAAAGATAATTAACGAAGAGTTACATAAACTTGGAAACGATTCTTTACATGGAAACGCATAATTTTGTACTTTTTTGTACTTTAATGTATAAATATATTATATAATATTATATATTAGGATTCATTTATTATTTTAATTATTTTACAATACTGTTATGTTTATATTATATCAGACCAATAAACACATTCATTAATATTCTATATTATCATATTTAAAAAGTTAATTATCACATGAAAGTATAACGGAATTCATTTCTAATTTTATTTGGTAAAAGAAATTACTATCAGCATTAAAGAAGTTCTTAACTGTCGGATAAATTTTTATCAAATGTGCTTGATCAAGTGCAATAAAATTAGCAATTAGTGTTATATTATAGCAAAGATATATTACGCAGAAGCAAGTTTATTTTTTCGATTATAATTCAATTATCGAGAAATCTGTAAGTTACAGTTAATCGATTATTATTGTTGTTCCTCAGATCGGTTCTTGCCTCAGGTGATAATTGAGGCACCTCGGATGTCAATCGCCAGAAGAAGTGCGTAACTTATAAGGCAACTGCAATTAATTCTTATTGTTTGATGTTATATTAACACTTAAATACTGATAAAAAGTTTAATAAAATAACTAAAGAAAAGAATGTTTTATTTGCATACTATTTAGAATATAACTTGAAACATCAAATAGCTTTTTACGAATTTAATTCGGCCTTGTCAATTCAAAATTGTAATCTGAAGTCGCAAAAAGAAAATTTTGTTCACAAATCTTCATTTACGATCAATATCAAATTTATGATTATTAGGTTGTTAAAGTAGGTTGATTAATGTTCATTCATGCATGGCGCCATGCTTCGAAAGTTAAGCGTTTCTTAAATTTCAATATTATTTGACGCGCAAAGTGATTATATTTTATTTGATAAAATGATTTGTTTACAGTAATGTAATAAGTGAATAAATAAATTACATCGTTCCAATGAATTTTTTCGGATTGCAGTGTTTTCAAAAAAATAAACCTTATCGGCAGCGTCTGCCTCATATGAGTTACGCTCATCTGACGATTGACATCTGAGGTGCCTCAGTTATCACCTTATCTGAGGCACAACATTATTGATTTTTCAAGCAATTTACAAAAAAATATCAAATTTCTTGAATGATACTCACTTGGATATTTTACATAGTTTCAATATTAGTTAATAAGGATTTCAAATTTAAAATATATCTAAACAATGACTTATGTCGTCTTACAGCTTTTATGCTGGAGATTAAAAAAAAAGTGTGTGAGGCTGAACGAAGCGAAGAAATATACAGTACCTAGAA